ACCTTTCAAGTTAGACTTATAAAGGCCTGGGGAACACTTGACTCCGACAGATGTCTGAAAACACTCAGATATACAGGTAATGAAAACATACTTTAGGAAAAGCCTATGTACTGGTGTTAGAAAGTACCCTACAGTGTTACCTCACACGAGTTTTTCAGCAAATCAGATCTGACCTTGAAATAGCCTTGTGAAAAACTGCTTCCTTTTATTTTCAAATACCTAAATATAAATGTCAACAAGGTTCAAAAAACCAACTCAACTGCACACATGAAACACAATGAAAATGCTCACTAAGCCACTTTAGACTGGACACCAACCAAAACTGATTCCAGGTAGTAACCACGATGAGACCAAGTACTTACAAACTCTAGGTGAGAAATTACCGTTTCATAGCCCAGAGGAACAGAAGGAAGGGCTGTGAATATTTCCCTTTAGCTGCTAACTCCCCTAACCATTTCTTTTATTCAGCGAATCCAACTCCCTAAGCACTTCATGTCAACAATAAGGTACGGGAATTTCCTGGGAGGAATTATGTGCCTCTAAATTAAAATCATCAACAGCTGAGAGATAAGCAGACTAACATTGTATTACCTAAACCAGCAAAGCATTTCCCCACAAATGCCATGTACCTAGGAATTATTGCTTTTAATAAACTAATAGCCAATGGTCTAAGTACCATAAGTGGAATAAAGTGCACATACAAGCAGTAGCAACTAGCAGGAAGTGTGCAGTAAGTAACCTTCATTAGAACAAAAGCTGACTAAACCTACCATGGAGGATCACAAAAATAACTCTGATATTATATCCTTATGACCTCAATGAGGCTTTTACTATTTCCCAAAGTATTCTGCCCCATCTAGCATGACACAAAAAGTGTTCTTCCCATCTTGCTGTTAATGGAAGACTGCAAAAAAATAAAAGTAAAAACAAAATGTAAAAAAAAAGAGTAGTCATTCCACTTTTTGATTGCCCGTTGCTAAGAGAATACTCCCAGTCCACTGAGACTGGCACACACTCTCTGCCTCCTTCAAATGGGCTTTGGGAACCAGAACAGCATGTTATTTGTAACAGTGATTTAAGGCAATTTGAGTTAAAGCATTCCATCCTGACACAGGCAAAGCTTGACCAAGTCAGTTTAGTCAGTTAAGCTTCTCCTCCCATTTTTCCAACTCTCCTACAGCAGTTTCTCCTGGACATGAACGTGTCCATTCTCCCTTCCTTTGCACAGAGGTGTCTCCCTTCCCAGTTGGCTCGCTTGCTCTCTAATTAAGAAAAAATTTATTCCCCCTGACTTTCTATGTCATTCTCTCATTCTTTTCACCTTTCACATCTACCATTTAGTAGAAACAACCCTGATACCACACATGCACGGTCTCTTTTCATTCACATATAAGAGTAATTACAGTGACCTGCTCAGTAGGAACACCTCTTACGCACAAACAGAGCCAAACTTATAGCACTAGTTATACTCTTCCCTTTGCTCTGTGCCTAAGTAAATGCACTCTGATGTTATGTTTCTGTATTGCAGTTTATCCTACAGCAAAATTCCTCCAATGCCCTCTTTCCTGCTAGGTACAAAATACAAGAGACGACCTGGAGGATCCTGCCAGGCTTGGTGGATTGCCCGCAGGGAAGAAGTGCCAGCTCCATCCTGCCATTGGCCACATTACACAACAGACATGGCTTGCAGCCTGGAACTACTAGTTTTGCAAATTCAGAAAGGAGGGACTCTTAAGGTAAAACACCTCCTTCAGGGTGTAAAAAGGCCTGCATGTAGCCTCCTACTCAGAACAAGTGAATTAAGAATGTGAAAACTTTGCTGTGCTAACACTTTTTGTGGGTTTTTTATTATTATGTATTTATTTTCTTCTCTCATCGTTATTGAGACCCCAGCCTGAGCCCTTGTGACTTTTCTTTGCTACTTCTCTGGTTTGGAGTAAGACATGTAATAAGACAAATCTATACATCTAAATTAGTCTTCCATTTACTCCATAGAACACTCACCCCCTCAAAAGAAAGCCCAAACAACAAAAACCAACAACAACAAAAGAAAACAAACAACCCCCCCCCAAAAAAAAACCAAAATTCTGTCAAGACTGATAACAAAGATCCCCCACTCCCAGTTGTTGATATAACATAAAATTAAGACATGAAAGTTAGATCAATAACTCATTTCCTTGTAATCTTGGTAACAGCAACATAATCAAAGAGTATAAACAGTGCCAAATCAATTTAGGTAAGCAATGAGTCTACAGAAGCACTGTTAAATATCTGCTAAGCATTTCTTTTTTCATGGTGATTTTTTTTCTTTAAACATTTTCATTTGCCTTGTCCAATGCAGGATAAGGTTTAAAGAAACAAAGCCTGTCTGGACCAATTTGTCCCACAAAGTTCAGAGCCATGAGGAAGCTTTATCAACAAAAGTACAGTACCACAAATGATCTACGATTCTCAGTAACTGAGGCAATAGAGACACCACCAGGTGAACCCCAAGCCCCAAAGGCATTATTCTTTGAACAAGGCCTGACACCTTCCCTGCTCCCACAGACTAAAAAAATTCCCACACTTGTCAATATTGCAGATATTAACAGCATTTTATAGCTAAGAGAAACATGAAAAATAATTGCAAACTGCAGCAGAAGGAACATAAGAATGAGCACTGAATTCGATACTTGTATAGACCAAAGACTGGCTCAGAGAGAAGTGGGGTGAAGCTACTGTCATTTACAGTCTTACCTGGAATGAACACATCCACCAGCACCTATGTATCTGCCCACCTCAGGAGCAGGGTTTGTCATCTCCCTGCACGAACGTTTAGAGCACATGGGTGACAGAAGGTGAGGTTTAGGCACCCGAGGTCTAACTGCCATTGTCACTACCCGCTAGAACCATAATACCTACTCTGAATCATGGAGCACAAAAGAAAACCCTCTCATTTAATACCATTCCATTCAAGTTCTAGATGAACATGCATCCAATATCAAAATATAAAGCTGTAAATTTTCTTAGCAAATCTTTTCCTCAGGACTAAACACTCCTAGGAAATTCTCAACTTTATTAAGTTTCCTCTGTTCTCTCCTTTTCAATATTATAAAACTGGAAAAGTAAAATGACGTAACTGTGATGTTTCAGATAAACAGCATCAGTGGACTTCTAAGTTAACTGGAACTTACACATCTTTGAGACTTAATTCTCAGACTATTCTCTCTGTGACTTCTAGAAAACTCAGTTACTGCCATTTCTACAAAGCTAAAATAATGATGGTACCAAATCAAAATCCACCTCACCAACAGAAGCCTTGCTCAAAAAAAGCAAGCAGATTCACTTCATAATCCAATCTAACATATAGAATCAAAGTGTTTCTTTGAGAACAAGAACAAGTTTGGCCGTGAAGTTAACACCCAAATAAATAAACTGTAAGTGATGTGAATTTTTCCCCCCATATTCAGATCCCTTGCAGTGAGATTTTAGCCATGATTTCAACTAAGTATGAAGAGGACAAAATCCAGAGGGGAAAAAAAAAATTACAAGGTCACATGCTTACAGCTATTTTTTTGTTCAATTTCCTCTTCATATGCAGATGCTTGTAAAACCTCTACGCGTCAAAATCGTGAGAAAACTCTTCCTCACCTACAAACTCCATAAAAAAATTGAAGAAACTAACTTTGTTTAGAGTATCCAGTTATTCTCAGTCCAACTCTCCCATGCTTTACTCTGTTACAGACTAGAGACACAAAGAGACAAAGTCAGGTCTGCAGAATGGCTAGAATAAATTCTTAGGAAATAATAAGTAAATATAAAAATAAAAACAATAAATCCCCCACCCTACATATTGGCCTCTTTGTTGCCAAAAACATTCATTTCTAACTGATGCCCATAATACACAGTAAAACTCACATCTCAAGGGAAGATCTCTTCTTCTTCAAACAAGAAATATTTTAAAGATACTCTTTTTGTGATATGCTGGCCCAAGCCAGCTGTCTAAAACCATTATCAATGGCAGAGGAGCACAAAATTCACTTGTTTTCTTCCCAATTCAGTATCACATGACATGGAAATGATAAACTGAAAAGTGCTCATGTGGCAGCACAATCCGTACGACGAGAAGTTTCACTTAGACTACTTGCAGTCATCACTCCAAGACAACTTGGCCCTGTGGCTTAACAGAGATCAAGCAATACTTCGTCTATCCCACCATCATTTACGGTGACACCAAAACTGACAGATTGGTGTATAATCTGCACAGTTTATCTCCACAGGGTATTTCCTTCAGTCAATTTTATAACATAAGACTACTCAAAGATTTCTTATTAATAACAAGCAGCTCTCATAGAGCAAACAATAGGCAGCATTATAAATTAAAGCATACAAACTTTGGCTTAGATACCATCTTGATCTACAAAGGCAGTATAGCTGAGTTTGAAATAAGCAGTCATGACGAAACCCCACATGATCTGTAGTATAGCAACACATTTCCTCAGTGATGTGTGCTACAGCACGCACCGTGGGTCCGACCTTCTCCTACAAACAGTGCGTGGCACTCAAAGATTTAGTCTTCATCATCAGACCTTTTAGCAATCCAAGTAACCGTATCGGTTTGAGAAGAAAATTGTGTTTGATAACTCTTGCATCACAATAAATTACTGACCTATTAGTGACGATATTTTAACCAAATTTTCAGGAACTGTACATTTAAGATTCAACAGGCCTTTTACAAGTTGGCTTCTATTGACTGTCAGCATGGAGACCAACTACGTACTTCCATTTTACTGTTATGCACCTTTTTTTCATTTCCATTGCAAGGGTACCTGAAGCATGGTAGCAAGCTATTTAATATGCTGTCAGTAAATTATTTTAGGTGATGACCCGCTTGGCATTCACCAAACTGGAATAATATAATCATTTCAGACTGCACGGCAAAACTTCTTGTAAGACACGAAACAAGTTCACTTTTCACAAGCACGAGGAATATAAGCACTGATCCTCCAGCCCCATTTTACCTGTTCTGCACCATACTCATTGCCATCCAGTCTGAAGGGTAAACATTCTTTCCAATGAGATCTTTGAACATTATGAAAGTTTCCATCAAGAAGTCCTAGAACAACAAAATACAGTAAGTCTGTTACCATGTAATGAAAAGTTCAGCTGTTCCTGCAGTGATGGACGGCTCCACTTTGCTCCCAGTGAAGTCAATGGAAAGATTCCTGGTGATATCGGTAAGCCAAAGATGGGAACTGAAGTTCTGCAAAGCAGCAGTCTCAGATTGCAAATGAAAGCTGAAAGTCATTACACTGGGTTCTTAAGAAAATGTAAGCCATAAATGAATGGAAATGAAAAGTTCTTGTACTTTGGAGTAAAGCTGTTGGTTGTTTTATTAATTAGCAAAACAGTCTCACTATGCATAATCAATCAATAGATTTGAAAAATACAGGATTTTGTATTTAGTCCATAAAGACCGAATTTTGTATTCTAAATAAAAAATTGAAGGCACTGAAAGAAAGTTTTCAAACAAAACAAACATTACTTCTTTTTCTGGAAATGTTTAGAGATTATGAAGAGCTAATGAGCTTAAGTAAGATGAACACAATCATTTCAGGTCTATTTCACACAAAGTACGGACGTGCAGTTCTACCCCTGAACTTCTGAGCAAGTCACCAACATCATTTATTACGATTGCGTTATTTGAAAACAAATCTTTGTCATCTTCACTGACAAAATATGGAAAAAAAGGAGAAGACAACAAACCAATGCTTTTAAAAACAGCAAAACCCATTGAACATGTGTGTGTCATGTCGCCTTCAATTTTTTCCTCCCTCTGCAGATACTATTCAAATAGCGTACGATTACTAAAACTTCTCGGACCCGGTACCCAAACCGCTTGGAAGCTGAAACTATGTTAAAATACTGTTATGTATTCAAGTAAACTAAAGCACATGAAAACCTGCACCATCCACCCAATATTTGATCTGTTTGCATTTCCGTTATGGCACCACCTCGACTTTAAGACAGTAAAATAGACAAATCTTGCCAACTGGAAATACTACCTCCACTGAGGAACTGGTGTAATCAAAGCCTCTGCCAATACCCAGACCTATTTCAGAATTATACCAGGATCATAAAATGACAGACATAGCACCACAGAAACCTTCTAGAACATAGTGACGAGCACTACAAGCTAGAATATATCACAAGCATTGTTGAATTACACCAGAAGCAACTAGAGTGAAAAGATACATTGCAAGAATAAGGCTGTGTGGGGATAATAACAACAACAAAGTGGGGAGGGAAGGTTCAATGGGCTGAGTGTTGTTTTTGTTCTGGTTGGTTTTGTTTCTCCTCAGAACAGTATAACACAAAGATCCCATTACTTATTCTTGCTCATTGTATTACCACCTCAGTACTAGGGTCAACAACAGCGACATTTATGTCTGTCCAAACGTCTAATTACATTATTGTCCAAGATCATCATTAGAAGAGGGAGGTAACACAACGACAAGCAAACAGAGAACACATAGACACAGACTTCATTCTAGGAAGAATCAGACAAGATACTCTAGAACAATATTACAGATTTTTCACTTAGAATTATTTATCACCTCCATGATTATTTTGTACTTACCACTAGTTCTGAACTTGTCTGAAAAGTTTCAATGTAAACTGAGTAATGCTGGTTGTTCATCTGATTTAAGATTGCTGTCATGCATGCCACAAAATGACTCTGAAAGAAAACCAGACAGAAGTCAACACATGGAGATTACTTCAGATACTGGGCTGTATTCTTTTTAAAGCTGAACTGCTCTAAATGTCTAATAAGTCCTTTTATGTACGTAAAAATAAAATAATATTCAAGCTTTTCCAAGTCCAGGTGAAAGAAACCTACTAAGAACACAAAAAGGACAATTCAAAAGCTATCCTGGCAAGTGGTAGGCTCTGGTGAAAAAGTTGTATCATTTATGAAACTCCACATGGAAACACACATTGCAACTAGAAAACTTTACATATAAAGTGCAACTTAATATTACCTTAAGACCCCTAAAAGGCATGTGATGTTGCCTAGGATTCTTCTATTAGGAATTCATAGGAAGAAAACATATTAGCATCAACATTTTCCAATCATTCTAGAAACACAGGCTATTCACAGGAAGAAGTAATGCAAGAAATGATGTTTTTTACAATCTGCAGGTATTTAAGTAGCTATCAGAGAACTCTGTAGAACTTCTATAGAATACGACTACTTTCACCTCTCAAAACTTATTTCAGAGTTCCTCAAAAGGAAGTACTTTATGTTGCTCAATTCCTAAAGCAGGA